GCCGACTGGTTGTAGGAATCAGCTGTGTGGAAAACGTCTGTCTTCTGGGGAGGCGCTAATCCAGCCTTTGCCTGAGGGGATCGGCAAATGGCTGTCGCAGGGTTTGGGCGGGGCGGGACCAACAGGGCGGGTGGAGGGAGCAGTTATGGCCGCTCTCAGTCCTGTTCCCAGAGCTCTGCTTCTCAGAACCCCGGCAGCCGCTGCAAACCTCAGAGAGAAAGCTGCCCTCAGGTTCCAACTGATGCCGGATAATCCCGCTTCTCCCGTTTGTGTCTGGGTCCCTAGAGACTCGCCCGGATCTGGAGCCCAGAGTCTGAGACTCACTCCCGACCGAAAACGACAACCGCGCCCTCAGCCACCAGCCCGCTTTCGCGCGCACCTCGGTACCTTTGTATTTTCCACACTGCGCCTCCTCTGAGCCTCGGTTTGCTGTTCTCTTTCCTTCTAGTTGTAGAATTTCCACTCAGCCAGCCTTCCTGTGGTTCTGGATGATGTCCGCTCCGTCTTTTAGTTGTATTTTTGAAGTGGTTGTTCGAGGCAGCAAACTCTGGTGTTTACCTATGTCGCCATCTTGGTTTCCCCATCTTTCTCTCTTTGATTGTCTTTTCTTTTTGATAAGACACAGCAAATTCCTAGGATAATGCTGTTTTATGCACCTTACTTTGGGGAAGAAAGTCACAAAGAATGTAATTTATTGGAAAGTATAAATCATGCACTATTTAGTATTTATTTTGATGTCAAAAAATATGATTCACGTGGCACCAAAAGGGAAGATAATAAGAAAAAGATGATCATCTCTATTGGCCCTCAAGCTATCACTGAAGCTCCTCATTTCTTCCTGGTATTTCACAAATCTTCAGGCTATTTAGTATTATTAAAGATTCCTTTTTAAATGTTAGCACCCAAACCAGGCCAGTGTGACTCAATGGTTGAGTATCGACCTATCAACCAAGAGGTCACGGTTCCATTCCCGGTCAGGGCAAATGCCCAAGTTTCAGGCTCAGTCCTCAGTAAGGAACATGCAGGAGGCAGCCAATCAATGATTCTCTCTCATCATTGAAGTTTCTATCTCTCTCTCCCTCTTCCTTCCTCTCTGAAATCAATAAAAATATTTTAAAAAATAAAATGTTAGCACCAAAATATTCTTATATAGGTCTTATATAGCTCTTTTGCTTAGACAGGCAGTACATTCAATAAGAAATGTCTAATAACTTCTAATTTGCTATTTGCTTAATAGGCGAAATCAGTGTTTTGTATCCTTCAGGAAGAATGTGGAAGTTAGCCTAGTAAATATATTTTATCTATGGCCTGGAGCTAAAGTTATAGAAAGTTTTAATTTCTACACACTTTGGTGGCCGTGTTTAATATGTGATATTCATTGATTAATTTTTACTGTGGAAAAATTGCATCTGTATTTTAGATAGTATACAAATCATATTATTTATATGCCCATATACATATTAATCAATCACTAGTATTTTGTCTACATGAATAAGCTTCCTTAACATAGATTTTTGCTAAACTAATTGCAACCACATTTTTAAAGCAAGATATGACATGATCTTTAGTTGAAACAACACTTCCTTTTTTTTTTTTAAATATATTTTATTGATTTTTTACAGAGAGGAAAGGAGAGAGATAGAGAGTTAGAAACATCAATGAGAGAGAAACATCGATCAGCTGCCTCCTGCACACCCCCCACTGGGGATGTGCCCGCAACCCAGGTACATGCCCTTGACCGGAATCGAACCTGGGACCCTTCAGTCCGCAGGCCGACGCTCTATCCACTGAGCCAAACCGGTTTCGGCAAAACAACACTTCCTTAAATGTGGAATGTATTCCTGTTGTATAAGGAAATGGAGAGGGATTTACATTTTTGCACTAGCAGTGCTTATCCATACTTCATTAATAATGCTAAAGAATCATTAGAAGAAGCGTTGCTTGGGAGTACAGAGAATGGCTACTTACTTATTCTCCCTTACTGGGTATTGCTTTGGGAAGTTAGAGATCACCCTCAGTCTCATTTCACACGTGGCAACCTTTTTCTTTTCATTCGCCAGATCTCAGTTTTCCATTCGTCTGAAAACTCGCTCCTCCCATGGGATGATTTTCTATGTCTCAGATCAGGAAGAAAATGACTTCATGACTCTATTCTTAGCCCACGGCCGCTTGGTTTTCATGTTTAACGTTGGCCACAAGAAACTGAAGATTAGGAGCCAAGAGAAATACAATGATGGATTGTGGCATGATGTAAGTTGAAGGCAGAGAATATTATTCTCAGCAAATATTCACCACTGGCAAATGGACTGGCACTAATGCCCCACTATTGGTTTCTCTAGAAGCTTCTATTTTAAACTTGTTTTCATACGCTCAGAGTTCAATTTCAAAAACTTGTATTAATTTCTTATAAAAATCCTGAAGCACACTCTTTTAAAAGAGATACAGTCTGAGTATAATTTTTTGACCAATCAATTTTAATGCAATTATTTTAACCAAAGAATCAATGGCCAACATAAACTGAAGTTTGGTGCCTAAGGATTTTTCACTTGTGTTTTTCCTACTGCCTTAATATTCTAGATTTTCAACAACAATTGCTGAATGTCTTTCCTGGACTAAGCTGTGGAAGATACAAAGTAAGGAGTGTATCTGTTAGGAAGATAGGACATACCAGGGAGAACTACCTGAGTACTGAAGCAAGTCAGTGTGTATATAATGGAAAGAGTAAGCAATGTAAGCTGCCTTAAAGCAAATTACAATAGATTAAGGAGACAGCAAGTAGGCTGGCCAGCTGGAAGAGCTTGATAGAGAACTCTGCCAAATATATGCTACATTCAGAAGTTAAGCCTCAAAGCAATAGACAAACTCCTGACCTTCGGAGAAGGACCCTTTTTCCAAAGGATTTCTGCAGATTTCCCACAGTATTGAAATAGTAAAGTTGGGAGGGGAGGCAACATGGTCTTTCCCCTCATCCAGGGATGTGCTGGAGATGTGCTATTTACCTTCTCTCCACCCAGGTGATATTTATTCGGGAAAAGAGCAGCGGCCGGCTGGTAATTGAAAAGAGCAGCGGCCGGCTGGTAATTGATGGTCTTCGAGTCTTAGAAGAGAGTCTCCCTCCTACGAGAGCTGCCTGGAAAATCAAAGGTCCCATGTATTTGGGAGGTGTCGCTCCTGGGAGAGCTGTGAAAAATGTCCAGGTAAGCCCGGTTGTGACTAGGGAGAGTCGTTGACCTTTAGAGCTGGAAGATCATTTACTCCAGCCCTCCTTCTGTGATTAGGAAACTGGCCAGAGTGAAACGGTAGTCTGGCTGGAGATGAGTGAGTGTTGTCCACCCTCTGGCATTACACAGTCAGAAGTGATCTTTTAATTCTAGGTAGAGGTGAGATGAAAAAAGTTTCAGAGGTATAAATTATCAGGAAAATTTACGTTTTCAGAAGATTCTTATTTATCCTGCAAGTACCCATACCTTTAGGTTAAAAAAAAAAAAGGAAGTCATTTGATTATGTATTATTGAGTGAAAAAAACCTTTCAGGCAATTATGTAAACCATGATCCCATTTTTGTTTCTTAACACACACACACACACACACACACACACACACACACACAGTTTGTAAATGTGCAAGGAAATATGGTTACCCTGAGAGAAGTGAGGGCATAGTATGAAATATGTTATTTTTATAATTTAAAAGTTTAAAATATTATACTTTTAAAAAACAATTTTATAATAAAGGGACTGCATTAAAGGACTAAATTTTCATATATAAATATAGATTTGATTTTAACACAGTTAATACATTTCTAAGATTCATTACATATGGGATAACACGAAAAGGGAGGAGGGGTTTGTGTTTAATTAAATATTAGGCAAGTAGTCCCATTTTATGACCACCTCTTTAAAAGATTTCAAAAGCAGTTATCATGTCCTGCGGTATGATAAATATTCAACCACAAAGACAGCCAATGGAGCCAGAAATTTGAGCTTTCTGATGTTTATTTAGCCATAGTAAATTTAACAAGAACGTTGCTAGCCCTAATCAGTGTTAGATGATCTTGGACACAGCTATCATTCTTGAAGAAAAACAAACTAGGATATTTCTAATATTTACTTGGAAAATCACCACTACAATTTATTTGGTCATGGTATACGTAAACATTTTCATACTTAATTACAGGAGGCTGACATTATCAAGGAAAATTCCAGCTTGAAAGAACTAGTTAAAAAGCAACTACCTGGAAAACTATTTATCATTCAGATAGCTAAGATAAATCAGGAATTACTTGGTTTCTCTCGAGACTCAAATTCCTTCACTTTTATTCCCTTTGGGGCATCTGTGAGTGTTGAGAAAATGGATTTTAAGAAATGTCTTCTTCCCTTAGATAAACTCAGTCTACAGTTTCAGTGGCTGTCTCAGCAATCTCCAGCTCAATGGGGCCTCCATCACCTCTGCTTCTCAGACATTTAGCGTGACTCCTTGTTTTGAAGGTCCAATGGAAACGGGAACATACTTTTCAACAGAAGGAGGATACGCAGTTCTAGGTAACAATGACTTATGCTGAAAACATGAATCATGAAATACTTCTTTCTTAGGACTGGATAACAGGGATATTGGGGCCCATTAGTTAGAACTTCAGAATGCCAAACTCACTCAGCCCTAGAAAACAGCCTCTTTTCACAAGGACCACTTCCTCCCTTCCTACTACTCCAAACCAGAAACCCAGGCCCATCCCTGATTGCTTTCCCTGACCAGAGCTTCTCCACAGCTTCTAAACCTCTGGATGTAGACCATCTTGGCTCCTTTAGAATTGTCTATGCTGCTCTGTGGTCTGATCCATGTCAGCTCTTGACCACCTGGCTCTCTAGGTCTTCCTCTCCTCTCTCATAGCATGACCCATTGTCCCTACTAAAGGAAGTTCCACTTCCTCCCCTTGCACTATAACAGCAGCAGACAGTGCTAACCTTCAGAAATTTTATTTCTGAACTAGAGGCCCGGTGCATGAAATTTTTGCACGGGTAGGGTCCCTAGGCCTGGCCAGTGATCAGAGCTGATCTGTAGGGCGACCAGCAGGGCAATCGGGGGCCACCACTGGCACCTGCCTTGGCTGGCCTGGGGCCTGCAGGCTGGGGGCAGCTCCTGCATTGAGCATCTGCCCCCTAGTGGTCAGTGCACATCATAGCAACCAGTCATTCCACCGGTCGATTTGCATATTAGGCTTTTATTATATAGGATTTGTATTCTCCTTGGCTATTACATTCTCTCTCATTCAACAGTTTTTATTGTATGCTTCCAATCTGACAGCCCCTCTGCCAGGTGAAGGAACATAAAAGTTCTAAAAATAAATAGAAGCTTAACTGACTACACACAATCACCATCCAGTACATTCCAACAAACATTCCTTAGCACAACCATTAGGTGTGAGCACCAGGGTAGGTGTTGGGAAAGAGGATAGGAAAAAGGTATAAAATGTTCCACATATTTCCTGCTCTCAAGGCCCTTAGGTACTTTGTGCTCCTCCTGAATAAAGACATTCCAATGCAGCCAAGTAGACCTTAAACCACCACAATGTCCAATAGAGTAACTAGAGGGAATATTTCCTCTCTTTGTCTATCTCATGATATTAGTTTCTTTTCCTTTTTCCCTACTAAAGCACCTACACTCACATTTCTCAGCCCTTCATTAAATTTCAGTGATAAGAACTCAGAAACATAGACAGCTTAAAATACATAGCAACTAGCACAATTTATGTTCCCCATAAACATTAACTATTAATAGCAGGAAAAATTAAAAAGTGATTTATAAGGAGACACATTGAGTGAACATTACTAAGATGCCCCAGTTTGCAATGGGTCTCTTGGAGTGAGCATGGCTATTCTCAAGAAGAATTCATTTTCTTTCATCGCTGCAATAGCAGCTCCTACCTGCATTTGCTGATCTCACTTCTTCTTTCCTATAAAATGCTCAGCAGCACTGGTGGAAGCTATCTTTATTTGTTTGAAAATTGTTTTATAAGACAGATCTCATCAAGTCAGCTTTATCGTTCAAAGAATTCAAAATAAAGTCTGACTTCCATATTTGCACACTAGAGCCCTTCCACCATGCCTCCTCCTCCCCCACAGTGGTTCTCAACCTTCCTAATGCCGCAACCCTTTAATACAGTTCCTCATGTTGTGGTGACCCCCAACCATAAAATTATTTTCGTTGCTACTTCATAACTGTAATTTTGCTACTGTTATGAATCATAATGTAAATATCTGATATTCAGGATGTATCTTCATTGTTCGCGACCCACAGGTTGAGAACCATTGCCTTAAGAGGACAATCCAGCCACACTGGCCTCACAGTGCTCTCCAAACACTCCAGCCTCTGGACCTATTGTACCCTTTCCTCCTTTCTCACTTTGGACATAGTAAATGGTCCTCCTCCCCTGAGCTCCCACAGCCATAGCGTATTTTCAACATGCTGTCCCCACCCCATACTCCACAAGAGTGATGTGCTACTATCTCAGTTCCCCACAGAGCTTTCCACAGTGTGTTTGATAAAAAAAATTCCACTTTCTACTTTTCTACTAAAAAGAGGCATCATACTTTCAAATATACATACAAAAATATATTTTTACAAAGCGACACTATAGTTACAAAATTTAGGTTGCTGTTCTTGAGGCCTACTAGTATTTCTCTCCACAGATGAGTCTTTCAACATTGGATTGAAGTTTGAGATTGCCTTTGAAGTCCGTCCCAGAAGCAGTTCCGGAACCCTTGTCCACGGCCACAGTGTCAACGGGGAGTACCTAAATGTTCACATGAAAAATGGTCAGGTAGTGTGTTGAAAATTGTGTTAACGGGCTGTCTCCTGTGACCTTGGCTTCTAGATCTAAAGAAGATATATTTTACAGAAGGATTTCATCAATCTTTCCTAACTGGGAGGGGAAAGAAACAGGGAAGCTATAACATGAAATTCAGATGCAGGCAATATTGAGATTCAAATTTAGGTATATGCTGGGAATTGATTTGATTAGAAGAAAGAGCCATGAAAATGTGACATAGGTTTTAAAAAAAAATCAACAATAACCACATAATTAAAGGGTTTTAACAAAATAATTGGACCTTTCTTTTTACAACAAACAGAAGCAGCAAACATACCCAACTATCAAAACCTACAGACATTAAATCAACTATCTAGAATCTATGTATACATATATTATGTTCAAAGCTAGAAATTTTAAAAATTGTTATAAATACAACTTTCATTCTAAAATATTACTAATGAACTTCCATGAGATTATTCAAATATAAGAAAAAGCAACATATTTTATTGGTGTCCCTAACTTGATATAACTGATTTTGAGTTCTGATACCTTCTATTAAACCATATAATAATAATAAAATGAATCCTTCTATGGTGCTTCCTATGTGCGAAGCACTATTCTAAATGCTCCATATGGACTAGCTCATTTAATCCCCAGTAGTTCTGTGAGGTGGGTATTATTATCTTCCTTGTTTTACAAATGAGAAAACTGGCAGAGTAAGTGGGAGCATGGGGACATGAACCCAGGCAGTCTGGCTCCAAAGGCCATGCTCTTCCCCAATGCCACAGGTGCTTTGTCTAACACCTTTAAAAAGTAAAGGACTTCATTCTGTTACCTTATTCTTTCTCTTCCTCATCTCTCCTGTCCTTATTTTGTTCTCTCTTCTCAGAGCATTCAGTTTAAACTACTTCATAGCCTATTGCAGAGTGACCCCTTGTGTTCAAATTGCAAAGCATGTATAGATGTTTGTTAACCAATGCTTCCCTCTGAGTTAAGAAATTTCGTTTTATCACGATGAAGAGAAATTAATTAATATATATAATGTAACCTGGTCTTTTGCAGGTCATAGTGAAAGTCAACAATGGCATTAGAGACTTTTCCACCTCAGTAACTCCCAAGCAGAGTCTCTGTGATGGCAGATGGCACAGAATTACAGGTGAGGAGAGCTGTGTCCTGGGTTTCCTTATACAGTGAGTCCACACACCCACCTGCGGGATGCTGCTGGCAGAACTTAGACTATAACCCATATGATGGGATAGATGATCAATGAGAGTCTAGAAGTAGCTGAGAAGAGAGTCAAATGTTATTGTATTAAAATGTATATTGAATCCACATGTTATTTGAAAATGCTGCCAATATAGTCTTAGGGAGTTATTTAAATAATGCATAACTTATGGGGGAAAATGTGGCAGTATCTTAAGTATGCTTAAATATCTATATGAAAAGAGTATCAAAGGAAAATGTCACAATGATTGCTTGGTTAGACATTGATGTTTTCAATGATATAAAAGTAAGTGTGGGATTTATTCTGAATAAAACTTATTGCTGTTGTGATAAATAAGTTTATGTGAAAATGAATCACGTCAGTGCCATCTTTGACCAGTCTTTGCCTTGTATGCCTTGTATTTTAGTTATTAGAGATTCAAATGTGGTTCAGTTGGATGTAGACTCTGAAGTGAACCATGTGGTTGGACCCCTGAATCCAACACCAGTTGATCACAGGGAGCCTGTGTTTGTTGGAGGTGTTCCAGGTAAGAATTGATTAAAAAGGACAAGTTCCAAATCTGAAAAACAGTAAGTTCTCATCATTACCATTATAGTTTTGAGAATTGAGCCAAGTGTTTTCACAATTCATCTAATAACTCTAAGGATTTTATATACAATGTCCTTTCATGGGAAAAAGTATACTGACACCTGTGACTCCTCATACAAGGATTATAACGCAGTAACACTGAAAAAACTATACCCCAACACTCTAACCAGTAGATATTACTCTCCCTCTGCCATATTTGTTTATCTTTTTCTTTTCCCTTTACAAAGCCTCCTCACAGACACACAGTGAAACACTATCCCTAGCACAAAGAAAACTCATTTTCTAATACTGCTCTAGGATCTGAGAACCTTGGACTTAAAGTTCGCTGATAATTGCTTCCATTACTTAGTAGGAAAGAAGAGAATACAGTGTTCTCCCTGTCCAGGATGAAGCTCAATTTTCACAAAAAGTCGCAGACCTGGAGTTCTGTTGTTCCTATGTAGTGGCATGTCCTAAGGGAGGTTCCCAGTTGCAATTCTGTAAACATCATCAGTAACATCGCTGCTGTCACCTTCCAAGAATGGTGTGTAATCCAGGATGGTGAGAGGAGGACACATATGAACAGCCCACATTTGTTTTAAACCTCAGAAGCAGGCACCATGACCTATTTTTTCCAGCTGTTTTAGTGTTCTTTTTTTAATTTTATCTGTTTTAATACTCTGTTTAAAGTATTCAGATATTCCTTTTTTCCCCCATTGACCCCTCCACTTCGAACCTGCCCCCCCCACCTTCGCTACACTATTGTCTGTGTCCATGGGTTACACATATGTGCATATAAATTCTTTGGTTAATCTCTCCCCACTCCTCAAGTCCCCCACCTTTCCTTCTGAGATTAATCAGTCTGTCCCATCCTTCTATGTCTCTGGATCCAGTTTGTTCATCAGTTTATTTTGTTCATTCGATTCCACATATGAGTGAGAGCATGTGATACTTGTCTTTCTCTGACTGGTAACCCATGAGGCAGCATGGAGGGACCATGACCTTTCATTAAATGTTTTTGTTTTCACACATTTCAATAACTTGGAAAACCCAAATACTATACAGCTGGAGAGAAGGATATAAGAAAAAAAGATAACAAAACTTTTATATCTGGAATTTGGTTAGGACATTAAGGAAAAACAACATGAGTTTCCCCAGCCTCCTAAGTAAATTATTTTAGACTGGCCCATACAAAGGCAGATAATGTTTTAAGTAAGAGAGTGAGAAAGCACAGATAAAATTGTGCATCTGACTTTGGGTATTCCCAACATTATTACTAAACTCTCCTCTGCTTTGCAAAATGTAAAATTTTCAAACACCAACATTGATAATGGCAGTAACTTGCTGATGAAATACTTGGGACACCCATAAAGCAACCCTTCCTCTCCTTTATTGTCCCTAGCCCTTCCTATTGCCATTCCCAAGTCCTCTCCTCCTGCTCTTGCTTTCCATTCTGAAAGGGAATCTTGGCAAAGGCCATCACAGTACTTCATGCACTTACCAAGTGGATGTGTCACATCATTTCTTATATTTCTTCACATTGCTTTATTTCTAGATATGGCAATATCATTTAAAATATTTTAAATTCCCCAAGGGCCTACAGGATCAAGTTGAGCATAGCACACAAGGCCCTTGATCATCTGGCCCCTCCTTAACCCTGCCTCTGGGGTCTTCCCATGCCTCCCGGGACTTGCAGTTCCCTGAATGTGCAATGATGCTCTATTTGCTCCAGGCCTTTGCCCAGGTGCACAGGGACTCAGTTTCTGGAAAATGTTCTTCTTCTTTTCCTTCCCTAGTACCTTTTCAAGAAATAACTTCTTCCATTCCTCCCCCAATGTAACTCCTTTCTGACCTTTAGGACTCAGCTCAGATTCTACTTGCATAGACATGCCCCCTTTCTCTCTAGAACGTGCTATGCATACAGCTGTTACAGCATTTACCACAGAATGTTGTTGAAATAAATAGTATATTCCTTGCTGCCAGGGAACATGACTTCATTCAACACACAACAAAGATTTATTAAGAGTCTATAAAACCCCATGCTAGGTTCTGGGAGACAGACAAAACAAGGATGGCCCTGCCTCATATAAGTTATATTTGTTCTTTACTTTGCACCGAAAGTATTTACTATATCACACAAACAAATATTTGTCTCTGATTTTTGTTAGTTTTAGATTCTGATCTCAGCATCACATACCACCATCATATCTCACTACAACAGTTGGTAAGCTCCACAGACTGGATGGGCAAGATGCACCTGAAGACAAATTCAGCCTGCCTGAGACATAATGAATAGTGAATTATATTTAATTTTTATTGATTTTTGAGAGAGAAACAGAGAGAGAGAGAGCCATCAATTTGTGGTTCCACTTGTTTATGCATTCATTGGTTAATTCTTATATGTGCCCTGACCAGGGATCAAACCTGCAACCTTGGCATATCGGGACGATGCTCTAGCCAACTGAGCTACTTGGCCATGGAGAAGAGCAAATTTCAGATAATGAGCCAGCACACAGGAACTAGCATGCGAGGGGGTGCCTAACCACCAGCCCAAAGCTTTTAATTCCTTCTAGGGATCATGCCAGCAAACCTAGAACAAAAGCAATTTTGTTTGTAAGAACAAACAAAAATTATAGTTTAAGCTGATATCATTCATTACATCATTTTAAGCTGTTCAAGATTAATTCCACCAAGATCACATCAGAAACTGGAGCATGAAACAGAATAACTAAAAGAAATTAGGCATAAACTAACACCCCCATATGAAATTAATTCTCTTAGAATCCCAACCAGTTCTTCTACACCATGTGGAACCCTGGTGACATTATTTCTATTAATAAAAAGTTAATTCATTAAAATTCAATGAAGTACACACCAAAATAAGTCAACTTTACTGTATGATAATTTAAAAGTCAACATTAGAAGTAAAAAAATTTTTGTTATTATAGTCCACAAGTGCGCGCGCACACACATACACACACACACACACACATACACACAGAGATCTGACCTTACATTCCTTTAGTGAAAATCCTGAATTATCCTGTATATAGCCAGGCTTTCAGCCTGAGTAATGTGCACTCTTAAAATCATATGTTGATTTTATTAATCAATTACCTTAGAGTTCTGGAGCACTTTATTATTGTCATTACCTATAGTAAGTCGTGTCGTGAATTATGCATACCATAAATTTCTGTATGAATTATTTCCTCTAGATGACGTCCCCCATGAGCTAAAAAGTGGTAAGCTTGGACAGAATCAAAATCTGTGTTCTAAAACTAGTCTCCAAAATGGGCAGAAGACTTACAGTCTTTCATGTTTGCTCATTTTATTCTGATAATGTACACTGAGCAGGCATAAAGAATATATATATAGTCATACTAATCTAGAGAAAGGGGAAATTGATCTTTCAGGCCCCTTCCAAATCTAAAACTTTATAATTATCATGCTAGATATGAAATGCTATTTCCATTATTTATTTTTAGTACAAAGCTTCTGTGTATCCTTAATCTACATTGCATAGAAAACTTATTCTAGCAGCTTGATGTTTAATTTGCTGTGTTGTTTTATGTTCCTTCCTGACTTATTTCTAAGTATTTTGCATCTTTTGTCTGCTCCTGCTCACATAGCTTTTTGTACATAATAATAAGCTTTGGCTTAATGGATTTTAATTTTATAATATTTCTAAGCTCTTTAAATTGCTTTAAATTATATTGCTTCTATCATCCCAACACATTTAATTGCGTCTGTGCAATTAATAAGCATAAGGCTTCTTCTAGATCTCTAATTAAGATAAGAAAGTTCTCCTGGCATACCGCACGGCCCCTTTGCCCACACAAAGACTGGGCTGGTTATCACTACCCTATTTATAGTTCTTAAACCCTGAGCTCAGAAAAATTAAAACTTGGTTTATTCGAATTCATTATTTTCTCATTATGTTTTATGAGCTTGGCAAAAGTGTGGAGGCTTAAGGGTGAACAATAATGATACCAATTAAATAGAAACATTAACCAAGTCCAAAAATAGTATGGAAACTAAAATTTCTTCCCCCTTCTCAGCAAAACACACAAAATAAGTGGGGCTCGGGTAAAATTAACTCCAAAAAGTACAGGTAGATCCTGAAAATTCACTGCTGAGGCTTTGCATGTAACTGGCAAATTTCTGTTTTGGAAGATGGCTGAAACATACTTAGAAATTTATTGTGAAAAACATGGCAAAACTTTATAATTACCACATGTTCATATTACTTCAAAAGCAGATTATGTCCCTAAGAATATTAGTAAGTAACTGTATCTCATTTTTGACATGTAAATCATCCTGATGTGAGCAGTTTTTACCATGAAATACTATCTGGGCTTGGAATGCCTCAATTGCCATCTTTGGTTGCTTTCTTTCTTCAGAGTCTCTACTGACACCACACTTGGCCCCCAGCAGACCCTTCACAGGCTGCATCCGTCACTTTGTGATTGATGGGCGCCCAGTGAGCTTCAGTAAAGCAGCCCTGGTCAGCGGCGCCGTGAGCATCAACTCCTGTCCAGCAGCCTGACACAGCAGAGCAAAGATGCCCAAGTACAAAGTTCTTCAGAGCACTGAGAGGGCCACCAAGCCAGCCGGAGGACCAGCAGCCCTTCCTCCTGCGGGAGCTTTCAGCCACGACTTAAAGGGATCATCAGGGACTGGATGTTTATTTCTCATTTGGATTCTTACTTTGGATCTAAAATGTCTGCAATCAAAGAAGTGTTAAACTTACTTGTATTGTATTACTGCCTGCTGGTGAAATTACTGTTCCTGTTTCTAATAAAATAGAAGAGACACATTTTTAAAGTGTGGCTAGATTCTCAGATTCATCTTTCTTTTGAGGAAGATAATGTTCAATCTATACCAAAATATCTTTGGTATGCTCTTCGTTATCCTAGAAAGATTTACTGATTTATATAACATCTAAAAACAGATGACAGATTTGCTTTTAGCACTTCTGATTTGTCTATCAATATAACAAGAACTAGAGGCCCGGTGCACAAAAATTTGTGCACTCAGGGGGTCCCTCAGCCCGGCCTATGCCCTCTTGCAGTGTGGGACCCCTCGGAGGATGTCCACCCCAGTGGGGACCCTACCCCATGGAGGTTTGGCTAGCCTGGGTGAAGGGCTGATGGCTATTTTCAGGCTGGCCATACCCCCTTTAGGGTGGGGGGTTCCCACTGGGGTGTCTGGCCAGTCTGGGTGAGGGGCTGAGGGCCGTTTTCAGGCTGGCCAAGCACCCTGGCGAAGTAAGCTCCCAGCCTCTCCTTTTTTTCTTTTCTTTTTTTTTTTATTCTGGGATTTATTTACCTTCTATAATTGAAACTTTGTTACCTTTAGTGTAGGCCTACGGAAAGCTTGGCTTCCTCTGTCGCCAGGGGCAACCCACTCTTGCTTGCTCCAGCTCCGTGGCCATGGCTGGCTGAAAGCAGGTATCTGGGGTTTATTTACCTTCTATAATTGAAACTTTGTTGCTTTCAGTGGAGCTCAGAGCTGGACCGCGGCAGGCCAGGAACCTTGGCTTCCTCCATCACTGGAGCAAGCAAGCCTCCTGCTCACTCCAGCTCCGTAGCTGCCGGCCGTCATCTTGGTTGGGTTAATTTGCATATAGTCGCTCTGATTGGCTGGTGGGTGTGGCTTAAGGCATAGTGAAAGTATGGTCAATTTGCATGCTTTTCTTTTATTAGTATAAGATGTTTTAGGTTTATAGCAGTTATCAAGCTTTAATAAAGTAAATTTCTAACAAATTATTAGAAACATTAAATTATACTTTAATTTTTCTAGATAAGAAAAAAGGAATTAAACAAACTACTTTTTTTCCTTATGTCTTTAAAATAAAATTGTACATAAGGGGAGGCTCCTGTGGGATATTATTAGGGTGTTCTATAGGAATACTGGTGGGGGGGTGATAGTAGAGACAGTAGGACAAAATAATAAATTCAATTTAAAATTATAAAAGTCATTTTACAAAAAGCTTTTTACCCTCATATATATGTAACACAACTGGTCTTATCTCTAAAATTTTATAATATTTTAGGTATATATATTAATAAAGTCTTGAAAAGTAGGCTTGAATAATGGGTGGAATATTAAGATACAGAAAATGAAATAAAAGAATTATACATGAAAAGGTAATCAAACTTGAAAATAAAAATAGGCCCTCATATCAACAAGATTAAAGATATGGGGTGGGGAATAACTGGGGCAAGGGGGGATAAAATATTTTGAAGAATTACTAAGGGAATAAAATAAACTCTTAACTTGAAATGTTATATATGTATACTTAAATTCCCTGCTACCCTTCTGTCTCAGGTACATTAATACTAATGTTGAAGATATCAATAAAAATAGCTAATATCAATTCATAGAGGACTTACTAAGTGCCAGGCTCCATAATAAACTAAAGTTAATTTCATTTCATCACCCTACTAACCCTATAAGGGAGCATTTGCAGATGAAAATCTGAAACTTAGAACAGTGAGGTAACTTTTCAGCTGTCATTCAGCTAGACTGAAGAGCCAGAATTTGAATGAGCAGCAGCATGATTATCCCTTGCTTTCCGTCTCCAGAGGACTATCTGCTTTAGGCCTACTCTCAGCTCATCTGTAAATCTGGAGTCACAAACCTAAATGCCTATACAGCCAGAGAAGTACCATCGGAGCAAAGCTGGTGGAATCTGACTGAACAAATCAATAGGCACTTGCCATGGCTGGTCTAGAAGCACAGCAGTGCTCAACTCAGCTGACTGGCACCATGAAAGAACACAAGTCTTGAAGGGCCAGAATTTCCAAAAGTAGCTGGAAATGTGAAATGGGGTTGGGAGGGGGTAGAGGTTGAAATGGCCTGATTTTTCAATGGGTAATTAAAAGCAACAGCAACCACAACAGGAAAATACCAGGCTGACCAAACAAAACCTTCTGAGGGCCATATATAACTTTTGGGCTGAAAACTCTGAATCCAAGAGTCTAGGGCCTTAACTGGTATAGATTGAACCAGTGCTTAAAACACACTGAATCCTCACAATATTCCCTCATTAGATGCAAGCAGGAGGAAGTGGCTCTAAAACCACCGACCATTTTCTTTTCCAAAAGTTTCCTGAGGCATCCTGGAGGGCCACGCTACCCCTCACCCTCAGCAGTAGCACAAAATAAACTAGTCAAGCTGCACCTCCAGCAGGTCCCACAGGCATGTGCACAGACTCACATATATACAGACTAAAACCACAAAAATTTTTCTACCTTCTACAAAATTTACGAAGGGATTTGCATAGTTAGTATTTCACGTTTTTATGCTTAGCAAATGAGAATCTCCTGACCCATATACCTCTTACCAACCACACAATGACCTTCTGAAACCTTGAGTTTACCATTTATAAGAGTTTGATTTAGTTCTGAGATGGGACTCCATCTTCTCCAGCTTCTTTCTATGAATAAAAAGCTAGGATTTTTTCCTTTTAAACATAGGATATCAAAACTTCATATTGAGAAATATGGGCTGGGTGCTCCTAGTAATTTTGACCACTTGTTTTCATGATCCCTGTCAGTTCAGAGTCCCTTCAAAATGGAAGAGGCGTCCCATAGCCCCAGTATGAAGAAGTAGCCCCATTTGGGCTGGGTCCCACCTCTTCCTCTCATGGCCACAGCTGATTGGATGAGGGAACCATCCTATAGATACCCAATGAAGCAGCACCCTATTATCTGGTGGTAGGAAAAGAGGAATTTCAACAATTGAATATTTTATCTTGAATTTTGAATTGGGAAACATGAAAAGAATAAAGCACTTAGCAGTAAAAGCTAAAGCCAAACTGAAACTGAAAGTATGGTTTCAGGTGCTTACTACATGCATGTATAGACACACATTAAAAAAAAAAAACTTAGCATTTTCTTCATTCTGTAGACCTAGAATAATATAGCAGCCTGCCCTTTATCTACTACAAGCCACCTCAGTTCTCAGCCCAGAGTTTGTAGGGGTGAGGAAGGGGGACATATTTCAGAAGATAGTGGGATATATTTGTTCTCTGGGCCCCCATATTCTTGTATGTAACATGGCAATATAGGGTGTCAAGTAATCCTTCCTGTTTCCATAAATTGGTCACTACAGCCTAGAGCTGGGACCATCTATACTAATAATAGACAATATGTAAATTGACCATCCCTCCACAACACCCACAGCCAATCAGGAGTGAGTATGCAAATTAATCCGACAAAGATGGTGGGCCTGTGGGCAGTGAGCATGTGCGCAGGCACAGAGGAGCCGGGGGTGGGGCGAGACACCTGCCGCATCGCCGTGGCAATGTGGAGGTTGTTCCCGCCCCCAGGACACTCCAGGCCTACGCACGCCAGCGCTGAGCGGCTGGGGTCCCGGGGACACCACTGGAGGGTCTGGTCCTGTCAGCCCAGCCTGGGGTGGCTGAAGTTCCCAGTCCTTTTTGTTTCTGCAGCCCCTGGACTGGAAGTGAAAACCAAGAGGGCTGGGAGCACCAGGAATTCTGGGAATCGTAGTTCTGGTGGCAGCTCCAGGACTGGAAGCAGAAGCCCAGAGTGCGGAGAACACAGGGAATGCTAGAAATTGTAGTTCTGGTGGCAGACACGTTGCAGGATCTCCTAGACCAGTGGTTCTCAACCTTCTGGCCCTTTAAATACAGTTCCTCATGTTGTGACCCAACCATAAAATTATTTTCGTTGCTACTTCATAACTGTAATGTTGCTACTGTTATGAATCGTAATGTAAATATCTGATATGCAGGATGGTCTTAGGCAACCCCTGTGAAAGGGTCGTTCGATCGCCAAAGGGGTCACGACCCACAGGTTGAGAACCGCTGTCCTAGACACTAGAGCAAAGTGAGCCTGGAGCAAGTTACTGTTGCGGGTGGGGAATGGAGAGAACGCAAAGGTGAGAGACATAAGTAAAGTCAGAGTGTCGAGGAAAAATTAAAAGGAAGATACCCTGCAACTTCTAGGAAATCTCCACCAATGGAGAAAGAAAGAAAAAAGACCTCTATTATTCTGTGAGCACAAAACCAAACTGGGTTGGGGTCTCAGACAATTCGTTCATATGATTGCAAAGACAGACAGAAACTCCTGGATTGGAGAGGGCTCTCCCGAGGGATCCCAGATTGGAGAGGGTGCAGGTCGGGCTGAGGGACCCACCCCCCGTGCATGAATTTCGTGTATCAGGCCCCTAGTAAAACAATAAATAAGTTCTCCAAACTGAGGTTTAGAGCCAATCCCTTCTCCATTAGGATTGACTCAGAGAAGCCATATCAGTACAACTAGCAATGTAACATCAACATCATAATGCCCCCAACACACACACACACACACACACACACACACACACACACAGTCTATATAAAGAGACTAGAAATGCAACAGGAGAAACTTTCCAGAATGTAAGCTCCACAGATTTTTATGTTATGCACTGATGTGTTGTAAGAGCCTAGAATGGTGCCTGACATTGAAGTATATGCTCAATAAATATTTGTTGAGTGAATTTCAGGAAAGCAGAGTTTTCATTAAAATTACCCCTTCACCTCACCTCCCAAGGCAATCACTTGTAAAGTGCCTTGGAGTCTGAAGAAAAGAAAAACTGAAATTGACTTCTCCAGTTGGGTTTCCCCAAGCCCCAGAGATTGCTGATTTTCCTGAGGTTGTGGGGAGAAAGTGAGGGGGAAATGGTGCAGCCCACCATCAATACAGAAGCACTCCCTCAAGTCTTCGGTAACCTGTGAAGTCCTGAGAATCCCAAAAGGTAAGAAAGAAGTTTGGCTACCATGGATAAAGCCACTTAAGTTTATAAACTTCATTCCCAGACGACACTATTAGGGAACAGGGATTGGTGGGCAGAGGCTATCTGAGGTTGAGAGATGAAAGCCAGATATGATCTGCCAAAGCATGGGTCAGAGAGGCACATGCACCAGAGGAATGTAGCATGACACTACCAGTCAGAAGCAACAGTTGATTCCCTCAAGAAATGACTGAAGTGTAGTGATGGTGACTGGTCAGCATCAAGTCCCTCACCAGCCCAGCCAGACATAGCGAGTTTACAGTAAGCTAAATCAGCCACTTCAACAGAACATGTTTTCAAATGATCATGTCCTAAGACAGCTGATTAATGAGCTGATGTCAATCTGGAGGAAGATTATAAAAGAACTAGAAGCCTGGTGCACGGATTCATGCACTGGTGGGGGCATGGCCTTTTGGGATCGGCCCGCTGTGGGAGCGCTGCTCATCCTGGTCAGCCAAGTGACTGTGGACCCACCCTCTGAGCAGCTGCTCCCGCTGTGGGTGCGCACTGAGTGTCTGCCCCCTGGTTGTAAGTGTGTACCACAGCAACTGGTCGACTGGTCATTCTGCCGTTGAGTCACTGGGCTTATATATATATAGACTAGAGAGGCCTGGTGCACAAGATTTATGCACGGGGCTGGAGGGTCCCCTCAGCCTGGCCTGCACCCTCTCGCAATCCGAGACACCTCGGGGATGTCCGAGTGCCGGTTTAGGACAGATCCCACAGGGATCCCTGTGGGAATGGGCCTAAACCGGCAGTCGGACATCCCTCTCACAATCCAAAAGTGCTAGTTCCTAACCACTTGCCTGCCTGCCTGCCTGATCACCCCAAACCACTCTGCCTGCTTGCCTCATCACCCCTAATCATTCACCTGCCTGCCTGATCACCCCTAACCACTCTGCCTGCCTGCCTTATTGCCCCAACCACTCGCCTGCTTGCCTGATGTTCCTAACCACTCTGCCTGCCTTCCTGATCGCCCCTAACTGCCTCTTCCTTGGCCCTCGCCACCACAGCTTAATCCGGAAGATGTCGAAATAATGTCTGGAAGGTTATTCGGTTGTTCAGTCTAATTAGCATATTATGCTTGTATTATTGTAGATGATGCCACTGGGTTACCCTAAGACCTGTTTATAATAGTCCCTTATAGTAAGAAAGATATCTAGAAACATGAGCAATTACTCAAGGCAGAAGCTTTAGAAGATTAAATAATTCAATCTTGTAAAAAAAAATTTATCATTTTAGTGTTTATAATCTGTAGTAGGGCCCCCACTCTCATTCCTGATGTCAGTAATTTGTGTCTTTTTTTCCTGATAATTCTGCCTAGAGGTTTGTAATTTTATTGATCTTTGTGAAGTATCAGCTTTTGGTTTCATTGATTTTCTCTACCATTTTTCTGTCTTATTTCATTGATTTCTGGTCCTTATTCTTTCTTTCTGCTTATTTTGGGGTTTAGTTTATTCATCATTCCTGCTTTTTTAAAGTAAAAGCTTACATCATTGACTTGAGATGGTTCCTCTTTTCTAATGAAACTATTTGCTTTCTCAGCACTACTAAATTGCACCCCATGCATTTTGATAGGTTGTATTTGCATTTTCACTCATTTCAAAATATTGTCTAATTTCTTCTGTCATTTCTTCTTTTATTCATGGGTTATTTGGAAGTGTCTCATTTGGCATCCCAACATTGAGAGATTCTCTAGATATTTTTCTGTTATTGATTTCTCATTTATTATGAAACATACTTTGCATACTCTGCATACTTTGCCTGCTTTTCAATTCATTGAGACTTGTATTGTTCCCTACATATGATATATTCTTGGTAAATGTTCCATGTGTTTTGGAATAGAATGTACATTATTCTATTGTACTGTCATTTTTCTACTAGTTGTTGAAAGATGTTAAAATCTCCAACTGTAAATATGGAGTTAGTTCTCTTTTCAATTAATTTCATTGTTTTTTATTCATGTACTTTGAACTCTGCATATTTAAGATTGTTATGACCCCTTTATCATTATAAAATATCTCTATCCTTGGTAGTATACCTTGGTCTAAAATCTTCTTTTTTATTATTAATATAGTTACTCCAGCATTTTTTTTACTGAAAAGTCTTGTCTTCACAATATTTGATACTTTTAAAGATATCATTCTATTGCCCTTTTGCTTGCATGTTTTCTGATAAAAAGAGTGCTCTTATTATTTTTCTTCCTCTGAATGAATGTGTCATTTTTCTATATCTGGTTTTTAAGATTTTTCTCTTTATCATTGGTGTTCACATCATTTATTTACATGTTTTTGTTTGTTTTATTTTCTCCATGTTTCTTCTCCTTTGGATGGTTAACCTACTTGGATATGTGAGTTTATAGTTTTCATCAAATATGAAAAAAAAATTAGCCATTATTTCTTCAAATATTTTTTACCTTCCTCCCTCCTCCTTCTCGGAAGCCACTTATTTACTGGGTGGGACAACAGCAGGTTTACAGTTGTTCATATAGAAAATAATACAATAATTAATAAATAATATACAAGAACAAACTTTCTCATACTCACAACTATAAACCTACTTTTGCCACACCCTGTATATGTTAAACTACTTCATATTGAAATACAAAATTTATACTTTCCTTTTCAGCCCTTTTTTTTGTATTTTGTTTTGGATAATTTGTATAACTATGTCTTCACGTTCACTCATCTTCTCCAGTATCGAATCTGTTTTTAATCCCATCCAGTTTTCATTTTCATTTCAGATATTGTATTTTTTTTTATCTCAAGAAGTTCAATTTGGGTCCTTTTTATACCTTCCACCCCTCTCTTCATCATAATTATGCTTTTATCTACTACTGGAATATTTGTGGTAGCTTGTCTATTAATGCTATCATCTGTCATTCTGAATCTGTTTCTATTGACTGATTCTCTGGACTTAAGATTGTATAGTCCTTCTTTTTTCCATAAATGGTAATTTTTTTTGGATGTTCATCATTGTGAATTTTCCTTTTTTGGTACTGGATTTTATTACAGTTCTTTACATTTTGAGGGTGTGTTTTTCTCCTCCTTGAATGCAATTTGGTTACTTGGAAATAGTTTGATCCTTTCAAGTTTTGTTCTTAAGGTTTGTTAACACAGGTCCAAAGCTGCCTTCAATCTAAAGCTATTCCTATCCCCCAACCCCACAGCCACCCCCCACTGAAATAATATCTTGCTTAGAACTCCATACAATGTTCCTGTATTAAGAGATTTTTCCACTATGGATTAAATATAAATTATTCCTAGCCTTTTGTGACCTCTGAGAATTTTTTTATCACTCCTTTCTCCTGTCCTGTTATACTTTCCCTAGCCTTGGGCAACTTCTTTTCTGGATTTTGTTCTCTTCCTTTAAGGAGTAATAAATTTTTATTTGGCAGGTAATTAAGTTACTTAGGGATCACCTTGAGTCTCTCAAATTTCATTTTTAAGCTTTGTTAAAGTGTGTATGCATTTCAACCTCCTTCTAAGGTGTGACTTTTCTGCCGTCTCTCTATTCAATTCCCAACATATTTAGCAAGGTCTTTCCATTCTGGCTGATTGGAATTCAAATACCTCCCAGCACTGTGTGAACATTTCTAGTTTATACATAGAATATATAAAACTCTCAGAATTTCTCCATTTATAAATCCCTGGCAGTTTTTTCTTTTTTATCTCATATAGTACACATGCATCTACATCCATGCAGTTATAAACCAGCAAACCTTTCACTTTAAAAGGCTTATGTGTATATCTTCAGGAGCAGCACGGTAGACAAGAAACTAGAGAAACTATCTGATGCTAAAGTCAGTCTTTTGTAGAAGACAATGTTATGGGATGGATGGTGGCAAACATCCAGAGGAAAGGAAATCAGGCTGAATTTCTTGGGACTATTGCAAGAAGAAAAAGAAAACATGGAGAACTGGCCTAGACCTCAAAACTGATCCTTAAGTCAAATCAAATAAAAACATCCATCTGAAGTTTCTCAATACCAATTATAGACAATTTCAAGATGACTGGCTGGGACTTGAGGTACAGTGTGATGATAGCCTATCATTTTTCCAGAAAAAAAAAATTGGGTTAGAACCATAGCCTTCACATTATTATAATAAATTTAATCAATAACCTGAGCCCCTATATGCAAGCATTTTATATGCTTTGCAGATTAACCATGACTAAGAACTTTCTTTGATTTTGGGTATTCTTCCAACATACACAATCCACTGAGTTCCATTTATCACCTCATATAATTATTCCTGGGCAGAGCATTATCAAAATATATCAAGTCGGAAACTGGCTTAGGGTATGCAAGTGAAAAGATTCAGCTAAATAGCAACTCAAATATAAACAAAGGAAACAGGCCTAAAACACAGTAAGCATTTAGAATGGGTCCGTCCTGATGGAATAAACATCCTGAATTATTATTAAGGATCCACTCTGAGCAAGATAATCTCTAAGATACTTTCTAATTGTGAAATATTATTTTGTCTTATCTATCAAAAATAACTGATGGCTTATTACTACACACGTTTTACAGACTACATTTCTGTCTTTTCCTACTAAAAATAAATATTTCAACTCTTGTCATCATCCAAAGGTGCCACAACTTTTATTTGTTTACCAGATCATAAGACCCTACTGCTACATGACCCTGGACCTAGTCAGCCTCCACAAAAGACTCAATGCTGTTATTTAGGATGCATTTCCTTGCTGCTTTGTGCAGGTAGCTTTCGCATTGTTGCATAGACATTGATGGGAACATCAGTTATCGTCAGGCAGTGACTTCCATGGCATCTTCGGAGTTGCCTGAGTAAAAGAGCAGGTGACATGCGGTTAGATACCACAGAGGAAACTTTTCAGAGCACCAGTTTGAGTGCCTGTTCAACTGTTTTAAATATTTTTGACGTCTTTGAATGTCACAAAGTCATTATAACAAATGTTACAAAGGAGTTATAGGGATTGCCATACATTTAATCATAAGAAGTTCATAAATACGAAGATGACCCTCCATTTTCATTTTTAAAGATATGTCATGACTGCTAAATGATAAAAAAGGCAGGGGTGCATAGTTGTTAAACCCAAGTGATAATTCCAAGACAATTCATATGTATATGCACCGTAAAGTCACTTCAGTTGAGTCTACTTAAAAATTACAATATTTGTGGAAAAATATAAAACTGAACACATTATTCTATATACTATTCAAATGTTAATAGAATCGCAGATTTAAAAGAGCCCTTAGAGAACATCCTATATTATAAAAAGCCTGTGGTTATGATGCCCTCACGTTGTAACAACGGATCACTGGGAGGCTGCGTGCGTGGCAGGCGTGCGCGGGTGAGTGGGGGCTTGACACTGCATCCCCGCGGGTGCTGGAGGGGGCCTTGACACTGAGTCCCCACAGGCGCTGGCCCAGACTCTGACAGGAGGGAGGAGGGAGCTGGATGCCCACACCCAGGACTTGACTCTGGGTCTCACGGCACCAGCAGGACTTGACATTGCGTCCCCACGGGCAATAAATTTATGTATTATTTTCATATACATTTTTACTAATTTCCTTTCATCTCTGACACTTCTATTATAGAGAAAGGGCAAATAGCAATATTAAAATATCTCCGCTAATTAATTCCCTTTTAATGTGCATGAATTTTGTGCACCGGGCCACTACTCTAGTATAAAGATACAGCTAGTGCTTGAATTTCCTTTCCAACATTCCCAGTAAATAATTAACCAACATTAAACATTTCTAAAGATAAGTGCTCAGTACTTCCCAAAGTAGCCTATCCCATCCTTGAATAACTCTGATTTTTAAAGTACCAACCTTATTAAGCTTAAATGTGTGTTCTAAAGATTTTCAAGCCATGAGAAATCTAACAATGTAGTATTTGATGTTTTGCTATGTTAAAAGCAGAAAAGTGGAACAAATTCTATTATAGTTTTCTTAAATTTTGCAAAAATGATTTTGTTTTATAGAATCTTCATACCCTATATCACCCTCTGCCGAAGTCAAAGTGCCACTGAATATGAGGTCTGAGTCTTCATATTTTTAGCCTTATGCTAAGAACAGTGCCCTGCACATAACAGCACTAACGGTTTTCTTGTTTAATTGAAAGTTATCTGTTCTTGAAACTATCAACAAAAACAATCTAAAAGTTTATAAAAGAAAAAGAAGAAGGAAGAGGAGGAGGAGAGAAGAAGAAGAAAGAAGAACAGGAGGAGGAAGAATTAGCCTGTCATTAGACTTGCAGAGGTATAAGATACAGACTCTATGCTAAGAAACCCTGAGATCTGTTAATACTAATTTAATAACAACAATGTTCCTGGGCTTTTTTCTTCTAATATTGAACATCAACTGAAGCTTGTACTGATGACAACCATTACACATTTCCTCAGTTGTCAGGATAAGAAGACTTTACCTGGCTGGTGATATCTCTTTCCCGTTATAGGCAGCACCGGAGCTCAGTCCAGGTTCCAGCCCTATAGTAGAATCTCCTCCTTCCACTGGAAACGTCCGTGGCTGGGTCCCAATCCGAAAAGGCATAATTCACTGAAAACCTAGATTAGAAAGATATAATAATGGATGGGGGGTGAATTGTCTTCCAATAGTTGTTTGGAATTTTTAATGTTACTATTTTGCTACAGGCATATTCCAGTATTCTGAAAATGACATTTTAAAATATCTATACAAGTGTATAAAAACTATATTATACAACAATTCCTTACATAAAACATTAAGTCTTGCAACAAATACAGACGAGCCACTAGACAATAAAAGTAAACTGTGTCCTATGATTAACATAACTGAAGTCCATTTCTGCTGTGTGAAAAACTATTTCGTTTGCATTTATGGTATTGTGATCAACAAGCTTGAGCCCTTACTCCTATCTCCCACTATCTCTCTGCCTGTCTAAGCCCTTGTCTTCCTTTGAAGGACAGCTGAGTTTCATATCACCATAGTATCTTCAGCTAACCCTTCTGTTCCTAGTTATCATTCATTCCCAAGTACCCTGCCTCTACATTTACAGTGCATTAGTTAAGAAAGTGTCTGGGGAGAGTTGGATTGACTATGTGATCTTAGGCAGAGTACTAGTACTTAATCAAGTATGCTTCCCAAAGATAAATTGAAAATAATAATAGAATCTACTTCCAGGGTAGTAGTAAGGATTAAATAAGATAATGCATGTAAAGTGTGGTACCTAACACATAGTTAGTGCTC